GGGCAGGCGGAGCAAGCACAGCCCAGGGCCAGGCATCCCCCCGGCCCCGGCGCAGACCTGGATGGAGACCAGCAGCGTGTCCAGGGCCGTGGGCTCCTCCGGGGAGGACACGGACTTGCGGCTGCTCTGCAGCTTGCAGATGGGAACCCAGCGAACGCTCTCGAAGGTCTGGTTGGTCTTCACCTCCTTCAGGGTGACGATAAGGATGTTGCCCTGTTTGTCTTTGACGGGCTCAAAGAAGACCTGCCCCAGGTCCTGGATGCCCAGCAGCCCCTGCACGACAGGGTCACGGAGTCACAGGATTGCTTAGGTTGGAAGAGGCCTCCAAGATCAATCGTTAAATGGGATGGGAGGGCAGAAGGGAGCCGTGGGCCAGAGGCTGTGTTTTTTGGAAACCAGTCTGCCCAGCAAAGCACCCGACAGCCCCCAGCCCCTCTGCGTGAGATTGCCACCCAGCCTGACACCCCGTCGCCCCACGACCCAGGCCCTGCCGGGCAGGGGCACCCGGTCCCATCCCTGTGCCACCCCCCTCCCACCTCACCTGCATCTGCGAGATGGCCAGCAGCATCTTGAAGCGGGTCTGCAGGATGCAGGAGCAGGAGGACTGGGACACGGTGACACACTGCCGCAGCCACAGGACCTCCTCCCACATGCAGGACACCTGCGGGACACCGAGGGGCTGTCCCAGTGCCCGCCACGCCCGCAGCGGGGCCCCAGGGGGCTCTGGGCAGATCTGCTCGCCTGCCTCTTGGAGTCGGGCAGGAACGTGGGTGGCCACGTCTCACCTCTCAGCAGGGGGAGATTTCCCATGCCCAGGCACCCGGAGGTACCTCCAGAGCCTGCACCCGAGGGAAGCAGCTCTCTGTGCCCACTCAGGTACCTGTCTTCATCTACGACTGAGACCTTCTTAGGTTTGTATAGAAGACAGCCAAGAAAAAGATGGAGGAGATAGCCCTGTCCTTGAGCAGATCAGGAGCTTCCAGGAAAAGATTTTCATAGAATCATAAACTGGTTTGGGTGGGAAGGGACCTTTCAAGGCCATCCAGTCCAACCCCCTGCAGGGACAGGGACATCCCCAGCTAGAGCAGGGTGCTCAGAGCCCCGGCCAACCTCCCCTGGGATGGTTCCAGGGATGGGGCAGCGACCACCTCTGTGGGCAGCCTGGGCCAGGGGCTCACCACCCTCAGCATCCAACATTTCTTCCTTCTCTCTAGTCTAAATCTCCCTCTTTTAGTTTAAGCCCATCACCCCTTGTCCTGTCCCTGCATGGGCAGTACCCCTGAAGGTGCTGCAGTGCAGTTGCTTGGCAGATTGTGACACCCCCAGAGGACATGGTGCCCAAGGTGGTGCCCATCATCTCAGCAGCCCCGGGGTGCTGGCCAGGCAAACAGAAGACACACTGCTGCTGTGCCCCAGCACGCAGCACAGCACAAGGGCCCAGGGCCACCCACCTTGGTGAACCAAAGAAAGTCCTGCATGAGCAGGCAGGAGTAGGTGTCATCAATCTCCACCACAGGGATCTGGTCTTCATGGGTCACCAGGATGTTGTCGTCCTTGTAGAAGATGGCTGTCAGGTAGAGGCCCCTGCGTGGGAGGGAAGACAGACGTCAGCTTCATTTCCCAAAGGGTGTCTCTCCTGAGGGCACAGGAGATGTCCAGCCCCAGGACTCAGCCAGCTCCTCTCGTGGCAGAGGTGGCACTTAGCCCGTAGAGGAGCAGGGCTGGGAGCCCATTGTGGCCAGCAAGGCGAGCCCCACGATGCCACTGCTGGTGCCATAGCCACCACCCCGGCCAGCACAGGGGACCGTGATGGGGCCAGGCCTGTGCTGGAGCCACGCCGGGGTGCTCGGAAGCCACGTGTGGAGGTGGGTGGTGGAGGGTGGTGGAGCCCGCAGGAGGGCGAGGGGATGGCTGGAGACAGTGCAGGGCTCTGGGCACGGCTGCAGTTTGGCCAATCCGAATGAAAACACCAAGGAGAAACGTTTGATTTGTGGGCAGTAGGACTCATCTCCACCAACACCACCAGCTTGCTCCAGGCAAGGGCCCACCTCTGGGCACCCCCAGCCCGCACGCCCCGTGTCTGGCTGCACCCTGGCCGGGCAGCTCTGTGTCCTGCTGGGAGAGGGGCTCCCCCCACCCTGCACCAGCCTCTCACCGCTTCAGCGTCTTGAGGAACTTGCTGCCGGGGTGGAAAAGGTGCTTGAGGCTCTTGGAGACCGAGTGCTTCCTGCTCTGGGG